GGAGGCCGGATTGAGAGCAGGTTTGAGCCCTTGGTGGGTCTCCCAGGCAGCGCGTGGGGCAGGGTGTGCTTGCAGGGGGCGACCCATAAATATGTCACGATGAAAGTGCCCTCCTGGGCGCTGCCTGGAGGACACATTGCAAGCGCAGTCGCCAATAAAAAAAGGGTAAACAAGCAGTCGCTCTGCTGAACCACAAGCACACTGCACAACAATGAAGGACACACTATGACACACTCAGGGGGAGGGCCAGCTATGTGGGGTGCAGGGAGGTTTCCTCCCATTGCATCAGGACAGGGGAAGGTCCAAAATCCTGCGCCCCTATTCCAATATGTCATTCTAATAAACTCAGTTATTATAGGTTGGTTTGGTAAGTTAGTCAGCACGTGCCTCATTTCTACTCTATACCTGTTTGTGATAGCAAGCTGGAAATACTGCTGGTTTGCACCACAATGAATGGCTTTAGAACTTGGCTCCACTTAAGTTGGCATTGTCTGTGCCAGGCACGGGCAACTGTGCCAAATTTATGCCCCGTGGACTTCAACTCCCAGAATTCCTGAGCCAGCATGTCATAAAGTTGCTATAGTTGCCCACCTCTGGTCTATTTTTTCTTTCTCCTCCTCCTCCTCTTCCTCCTCTTCTCCCTCCCTCCCTCATCTTTTCTTTCTTTCTTTCTTTCTTTCTTTCTTTCTTTCTTTCTTTCTTTCTTTCTTTCTTTCTTTCTTTCTTTTTTTCTTTCTCTCTCTCCATTTCCTTCCTTCCTTCCTTCCTTCTCTCTCTCTCTTTCTTTCTTTCTTTCTTTCTTTCTTTTTCTTTCTTTCTTTCTTTTCCTTCCTTCTTTCCTTTTCTTCCTTTCCTTCCTTCCTTCCTTCCTTCCTTCCTTCCTTCCTTCCTTCCTTCCTTCCTTCCTTCCTCTTTCTTTCTTTCTTTCTTTCTTTCTTTCTTTCTTTCTTTCTTTCTTTCTTTCTTTCTTTCTTTCTTTCTTTCTTTCTTTCCATCCTGTCCCAATTTGTAAATATGCTTCCCGTTCTCTGCAGCCAGGCAAGGTGTCCTTCTTTGAGTGAGCTGCTTTTTGCAAAATCTACCTGAAATGTATGTTATGGGATGGCACCACCTGGTGGCAGGCAAGCCCATTTAGCATTGCAACCGGAAGCAGGCAAACAGGTGAGATGCCACCCGGGCAGAACATTTCCCCCCCCTCTCCTTGCAATGCTTTTCTGCTGCAAACGGAGAATATATTTGAATACGGAAGTATTAACAATGGGAGATGAGTGTTGGCTGGCTGGGGGAATTCTGGGAGTTAAAAGTCCACCTACCTTAAGGCGGCTAAGGTTGAGAAACCTTGCCTTAGAACTGATGGTTTCTGGGCAAATTCTCAATTTGTTAGCAGGAAACCATTTTTCTTTCAAGAACTTTCCTTCCACGGAGCAAACTTTTGCTGGCCAGGTGCCTATTTTTCCTTTGCCTTAATCTTCATGCAACCCTGAAATGTAACTCCTAACCTCAACATTTCTCAAAGGTGCCATAAGATCCAGTTGCACCTTCGCCCTCTGGGCCCCGTTCGCCTGAGAAAACGGACTTGGCTGAAGAAATGATAAAACATCAGGAGTTTAGTTTCAAGAAAAAGAGATTAAAACGAAATGAAGAAGCAATGAGGTGAATCATCAACTTGTCAGGAAGCACTGTGGAATTTAACAGCCAGCCTTAGCACTTTGGGGTAAAAAAAAAAAGGCGGTTATTTTTAGCCCACTGGAGGTATCAGAAATGTTGGTTTATAGAAGAACAGATGAAAATGCATTTCCACCCCCTTCCTAATGAAAAATGCAGGTTTGCTGCCTTAAGTCCCCGGAGACAGTTTCTACGTGTCCCTTTTCATAACTCCGTGCCCATCATTTGCAATTTTCTGTCTCAAAGTTAAATGAAAAACCTCGAAGAATCCAGGAAAATCCAGAGGCCTGAGAGGCAATTCAAAATATGACTTGACTAACCAATTTTTTTTTTTTAAAAAAAAATCCATGCCGTGGATTTTGACTTGGCTCCAGGGCTGGTTGACATTTTTAGAAATCATTCAGGTGAGGATAGGAAAAAAAAAGCCAAGAAATTCATTCTTAGGATAGGAAAAGGTGCTTTGCCTACTTTCTCTTTGATGGTTATTGGGGGGAAGGGGAGGGTTTTGGGCTTGCCACACATTCCTAAGGTGGGAGGAGTGGAGATAGAGGGGGTTGTTTAGGCTGGGTGGTTCTCCTTCCCGTGGGAACGAAAGTTGATCCTGCTGAGACCTGGAGGTGAGGATTGATGAAACCAGGCAACGCTGATTTACTTCTATTGGGGAATGCGACTTTTGGGAGTTGTTTCTAACTTCTAATATTATGTAGCGTAATTCCGGGTTGTGTCAGATCTGGAATTATAACAGACTTTGCCAATTTGATGCTTTCCTAAATAAAAGAAATTGGCATTTATGTCATTTTGTTTTTTAAAATATCTACCACCAAATATTGGAAGTTTTTAGCTGCCGCAGAAGAGAGGTGCCCTCGGGAAGGGCAGGAAAGTGGATTTTAGGAAACGATTAAATGGCTGGCATGTTGACAGGATTAAATGATTCGACCCAGTCCAGTTTAGAGGCATCACGGTTGCTCCATAGACGTGGCTGTTTTAGCAGGGGCCGACTTTGGTCATCAGGCTACAAAAAAGAGGTTGAGACTTTGGAAAAAGTTCAGAGAAGAACAACTAAGATGATCAGAGGCCTGGAGACTGAACCATGTGAAGAACAACCGCAGGATTTGGGCTTAGCTAGTCTAAAGAAAAGAAGAATTTGGGGTGACATGATAGCAGTCTTCCAGTATTTGAGGGGCTGCCACAAAGAAAATGGGGGTCAAATTGTTCTCCAAAGCACCAGAGGGCAGGAGAAGAAATAATGGATGGAAACCGATCAGAGAAAAAAGCAACCTGGAACTAAGGAGAAATTTCCTAAGAGTTAGAACATTTGATCAGTGGAAGAGCTTGCCATCAGCCATCGTGGGTGCTCCATACCTGGAGGTTTTTAAGAAGATAAAATAGTCACTTGGATAGTCACTTGTCTGAAATGGTATAGGTTCTCCTGCTTGAGTAGGAGGCTGGACTAGAAGATCTCCAAGGTCCCTTCCAGCTTATTCTGTCCTGTCCTGTCCTATCCTGTCCTATTCTATTCCTTCCAATATTTATTCTATTTTATTCATTTCTACTCTATTATATTCATTATTCTATTCTATTCTATTCTATTCTATTCTATTCTATTCTATTCTATTCTATTCTATTCTACTCTACTCTACTCTACTCCCTGAATTTTATCTTGTAAGCCCAGAGTTGTTTGAAACCAGAGGCAGCTTTAATAGTGACCGCCTTTCCCAGTTCTGCTTCCTTGTTGGCGTAGGTCCACAGTTTGGGATTATTTAACATCTAGCAAGAGTTGGGCAACTTGGTGGAGTGGTTCATGGTCCTGGAAGCCAGGAGAGGGCTACCCTCCACTTTTCAAATCCTAAACTGAGGCTAATTTCATGAGAAATTTATCTATGAAATTTAAGAGGACATTGTAAAGCAAAATTAGAAGCCCCTTGGCAAACTGTCTGTCATCTTGACTCAAATGAAGACAGAGGGAGGTGGGAGAGCCTTCGAAAGCCTTCTAGGATGTGAGCTTTTGGGGATCCACTGGGGTTCATTCGGACTTTGAAGAAGCAGAAGAAGATAGTGCTGTTCAACTTTGACCTTGGAGGAGACTCCTTAGAATACCATGGATAGCCAAGAAAACCAACCTACAGATCAATCAACGAGTCTGTGTTGTGGCTCAGAACATCACCCTAGAGATGTCCTTGCCATTGACTAGTTCTCCCTGGGGGGACACCCGAAAGGAAAGACAAACAGCCAAACTCTTGTGGAAGGCAATTCTTTGGGGAGCTTTCTTGACGCAAGTGGGAGGTTTGTTCAAAAACACATTGTTGACTGGGCTCTCTCTGGACTTGCCTCCTTACCGTGACACCTTGAATCACCGGGAGAGAGAAGAGCGGCAGCTCAGGGTTGAATTGTGCGGTCCTTGGTTCTCTTGTGAACTTGGTGGCTTTCTTGCAAGATCATTCATGACCCACCTGGTGATGTTCCCTGGTTGGGCAATGCAACCAACCCCTGCAAAAAAGCCACCAAGCTCACGGAGAAGCAAGCACCCCACGCAGCCTTGAAGCTGGAGATACGGGGTTCAGCCATGACATTCAGCAGAGGGGCGATGGGGGTTGGCCTCTTCCATGATGCTGGCTTGTTCTAGTTCCTAGTTCATCCCACAGAATCGGATTCCCAGAAGAAGCTCCTGTCGTTTGGGGGTTTGGGTGGGAACACAACAGTTTGGCTACCCGTGTCCAGTGGCTGGTCGATCTCGGTGGACTTGGGAAAGTAAAGATGGATAGAGGATCTCCCCTAATCCTAGTTTAATTTTCATTGGCCGTGGCATTTTCCCATGCATTTTACTCTGATCCATAAACCATTCTGAACGAAAAGGTGTCCCCACCGCTTCCCTGACATCCATTTTGACTCCCTCCTTCTCCCCAGGCGCCCCTCCTGCCTCTCACTCCCACCAGAGAGGAATGGCTGCTCTCCCTCCTCCTCCTCCTCCTCCTCCTCCCTCTTCTTCCTCTTCTCCCTCCCTCCCTTCCCTCTTTCCCCCACTCCTCCTCCTCCTCTTCTTCCTCTCTCCCTCTCTTTCCTCCTCCTCCTCTTCTTCCTCTCTCCCTCCTCCCGTCTTTCCTCCTCGCCTTCTCCCTCTCTCCTTCTCTTCTCTCCCTCCGTCCCTCCTTCCCTCTTCCCCTCCTCCTCTTCTTCCTCTCTTCTCTTCCCTTCCCTCCTCCTCCTCCTCCTCCCCCTCTCCCTGCGCGAGAAGGCGAGGGCTGGGCGGGAGCTGCGGCCGCCTTCCTCCCCCGCCCGCTCGCCCGCCCGCCGCTCCCGTCCCGTGCCTGCTCCGAGGAGGAGGAGGAGGAGGAGGCGGCGGCGGCGGAGGCGGCGGCCGCCCTTGCGCTTCCTGCCCAGCCGGGGCTCAAGGGCGGCGGGAGGGGGCTCCGCAGCCCCGCCGCTCGCCCGCCCGTCCGCCTCCGGCCCGGCGCCGGAGCAGCAGCGCCTGCATTGCAGAAGCCAGCCGCCCGCCCGGTCCTGCCCTCCGCCTGCCTGCCAGCCAGCAGAGCGGCCGCAGCCTCCGCCAGCCGGGAGGGATGCCGGCGCTGCGCTTCCCCGGCGCAGGTAAGGCGCGCAGCCCCGCTCCGGCCAGGGGGGCTTCTGGCGGGCGGGAGGGGGGGGGGACACCGTTGGAGAGGACGGGGGTCCATCTCGCCCCGACGCCCCCGGGCCTGCGCGCTGCGGCTGGGCTGGAGGCGGCTCCCGGCGCCGGACGCCCCCCGCCCCGACCCACCGGCCGGGCCCCAGCATCCTCGGCCAGCCCGGCCTGGGCAGCCCCGGGCGAGGGCGCGCGATGCAGCGGGAGGGGGGTCAGCTGCCCAGGTTGGGGGAGGAGGAGACCCCGGTGGGGGGTGGGGGAGGGGAAGGGGCCATTCCACCCCCTCCCATCCCTGCCCGGCTGGGTAAGTGCCAGAATGTCACACCTGGCGGTCCCCGTTTCTATGGCGACCAGGTGAGGGCCAGGCCACCTCGGGATGCAGCTGAGCTTTTGCATCGGGTTTTCGGGCACGGGGGGTGGGGGTGGGGCGGGGAAGGTGGCCTTCCTGGCAACCCCCCCTCCCCTTTATTTTGAATAAGGGCCCCTTGCTCTGATCTGCTCCGGTGACGTCATAAGGCAAGAAACTCCTGCTCCGTCATCACAACCCCCCCCCCCCCGCTCCTCTCTCCCCTCCCCCTCCCCCCAGGCAGTGCAGAGATGGAGAAGCCCTCAAATGGGTCAAAATGGGAATGTGCATTTAGAGCCCTTGAAACATGACCAAGTGGCCGCTGGAGATCAATCCGGAGGGTGGGTTTGCGGGGATGCCTGCGAGAAATGCTGCCTTTTTTTATTTAAGCCACGAAGGAAAGCTGGTATTTGTCCTAAGGCCTTAGAACATCTTCCTCTTCCTGCAGCTTTTCACCAATTTTATTTTTAATTTTTTTTTGGCTGGGGAGCCGGTCCTAGCTCAACCCAATCTCATGCTTAATCTCTGCCTTGGGTGCAAAGAATTTCTCTCTCCCTCTTTCTCTCTCTCTCTCTCTTTTTGGGGAGGTGGGTGGGGGGAGAAACGCTGTGGGTGCCTTTAGCAGAGAATGATTCCCCCTGACCCAATTGAGAGGTGGCTGAGCTTGGATTCCAATTCAGCTTTGCTTCCCTGGGTGTCAAAGCCGTTTCTCAGCCTTACTTTCCCCGCCTGCAAAGAAGGAAAAGGTGTTTTGAGAGAAAAATCATAACCCTGGGAGAAAAAAAAAATAGCAGCCAGGGATGGGAGGTGTGTGTGTGTGTGTGTGTGTGTGTGTGTTGTGATTTTAATATTCCCTTGCAAGGCAAAATGACCTCTAAATTTATTTTTGTACTGATAAAATAAAGGTTAGGGCAGAGAGGTGAGTTTTTATCCTTTAGTGCAGGGGTCTCTCCAACCTTGGCTACTTTCAGCCTGGAGGAGCAAAGCTGGCTGGGGAATTCTGGGAGTTGAAGCCCGCCAGGCTTAAAGTTGCCAAGGTTGGAGACCCCCGTTTTCGTGGGAAGGTGAGAACAATTGAACTTAAATAACATATTCGCAGACTGCTTAAGGCCTTGTTGCCAATAGGTAAAGTGTATAATGCACCTTAAGGCTATAATTGTCCTATCAATTTCATACCTTAAAATAGTCACCCTGAAACTCTATATTATGGGGCAGATGTTCTAAGACATTATTTCTCAACCTTGGTGACTTGAAGGTGGGTGGAACTCAACTCCCAGAATCCTGGCTGGGCCTTCAAGTCTCCAAGGTTGAAGAGAGATACAATAATTCCCCGCAAATTGCAATTTTCGAGAGTGCCCAAGGGGTTGAAGTTGGCCTCTAGCTCAGGTACATTAAAAAAAAAAAGATTCTTTTTTAGGGAATTGCCAAAACCTACCAGGAGCATCATTTCAACTCTTCCTAGTTTGGCAACCAAAGCTCATTTTCAAATAACAAATCCATGCATCGTTTTTTGGGAAGAGAAACCTTTGTTGCTTTGTTTGTCCTGACTCAAAACGGTAGACGTGAGGCCTTTATTTTCCCACTGACCAATGTGTGTGTGTATGCTTTCATACATGACTTCTTGGCAATAAGGAGGCAGGCCCGATCTTTTGATAGGGCTTGGTTTATGCTTGTCATATTGATTAAGTCTTCCTTCCCAAAAAATATAATTGCAAGGGTTGCTAATGGTACGGAAAACCCTGTAAGATTTTCCTTCCATCTTCCTCCTTCCCCCCTAGCTGTTTTCCATTCCCTTAACAGTCAGCATTTGCAGGCAGCTAAGTACAATTTGTCCTTCCAGACCAAAGATTCCCTTCCATTTTTTAAAGATAGCTAAAAATACCTCCACACGTGCCCTTTTGCAAATCTTGAAGTCGACCTGGTGAAATTTCCAAGTTTTTGCATGGATGTTATCCTTCTGGCTGCCTAAGCAAGGATACAGGCCGGTCATCAGAAACAGAAAAGGTGATGAATCCAAGAAATATTTGCTAATGTGCTTCTCTCTTTCCACGATATGTGATCACGTTGCAGTCTGGAAAAAAAAAACAAAAGTTTGTGCCTTTTCAAATAATGCTTACCTTAGAACCTTTGTGCATGCGAGCATTCATCACTCTCTGTCGGTGCGCTTATATAATCGCTTTGCTGGTAAATTTCAGATTATCCAAGGGTTTTAAGGTGTCCCCCAGTCATACTGATAAATTAGGAATTATTAGCGTTGCAACCTCATGCCTGCTTAGTTGGGAATTAAATCTCCTTGAATCCTGTGTGTTATGCTTACCAATGTCTGGTTAATCAGTTATTTCGGAAATATATTAAGCATGGTCATCACCTAAAGAGAAAAGAAAGTTTCATTTTCTGGTTATAATTAATACCCCATAAAAAAAGAACTTCCTTGGGATAGTTTGGATAAGAGCTAATGACATTTTGGGGAACACGATTGGGAAGTATTTTAAATTCTGTTTAGCCTCCAATCCCTAATGAAACGCAGCCCTGAAATCATTGCAGGAAACAGTAGTTTAAATTGGTCAGGTCTAAAGGAAGCACCACAGCTATGAATGTTTAATGTCTTGGCCACAGGATGTGTTTCATGTCAAAGGTTTCAGTAGCACAGTCGTTAGATCCGAAGCATGCCAGAGAGAGTTAAGTTGCTTCTTGTAGGTAAACAGCTCTGTGGGATGGTATTTCACAGCGCCAGGCTCTAAATTTATGTCCATCAAGTGATTGTATTGTTTTCCCGAGGAATTTAACTTTTCCATGCTGAGGCCAAAATAAATCCAAAGTGGTCAAGGAAAGGTAGGATAATTTTATTCTTTTAACCATGAATCTTTTTTCTTTTTCTTTTTGGTCCCTGCATATACATATTTATGGCTGTTTTATACCATCTATCTGTGCAAATAAGGGGACTAGCTATTAACATCGCAGAGCTGAATCTGTCTCTCTGTAAAATGAAATGAACTCTGATGATGGCAGCAGTTTCCTTGCCCTCTGTTGCCGTTCAAGATTCTGACAAAAAAGCAGCAGAAATGGTCTTTCTAATTCCTCCCAATTTCATCCTTTCTGAGGATTTTTTTTCTCTGTCGCATTCGTTTTGAAATAGTCGACATTTAAACCAGTTAACCTGTGTTTGCTTTGGCAGCACCTGTTTCAGAAGGCTAATGGAAATAACCTTCTGATAGCAAATATTGCATTTTTCAGACTAGGAAAGCCAATAATAAATAATGCTTCAATTAAAGCTCCAATAACACCCCAGGAGAAATTGAATGAGACGGTGATGCTCAAATGGACATTTGTTGGATATTATTTATTGGGGCTATTTAATAAAGTGCCTTGTTTCATTTCTTTGCACTGAGTGTTCTAGAACGATAAAAGAAAATGGTCATCTGTGCATGTAAACCAGGGTTTTTCAGTTTTGGTAGTTTTGAGAAGTGTAGGATTCAACTCCCAGAATTCCCCAGCCAGGGGATTCTGGGAATTGAAGTCCATACATCTTAAGATTACAGAGGTTGAAAAGTTATATATCCATATAACTTCCCAGATGACTTCTCCTTAAGTATTAGATATTAGATCTTGCTGGACAGATATAAACTAAGTAACAGTATTATATAGCAATGTATATATAGGTAATTTATATATAGGATAATGTGTCTGTCCCCTGTCCAGCCTCAGTTGAGTAGCTATGATGTAGAGCACCTGAGTTCACATCCCATTCCTACCATCAATGGGTCCAGATTTCCTCTTCCAGGCTCAGAAGAGGCCCTTCTGGACAGTATGATGGACTATTCTAGAAGACTAGTTTATGGCTGAGCAGCATCAGAGCTTAAAAGCGTTTCCAGGCTGATTTAAGGTTTGCTAAACTAGCAGTTTTGGTCTTCAGAGTTTTCTGAGTCAACCTTCTTGAAATCCCACATGCCAGAATTATAAATGGTTGGTTGATATGTGGTGAAGTGGAATACAAGTATACCTGATGCTGAAAATAATTAAAATTAGGGCTGTATTTTGCCCAAGGCTCCGTTTTAATCAGATTTAATCAGATGTTGATCTATATTTTAAATCCTATTGGCTTTAAAAGCTGGTGATCCAGCACAGTGTTTTCTAACTGTAACCATGTTAAGATGGGTGGACTTCAACTCCCAGAATTTCCCAGCCAGCGTGTTTTAAGAGAGGTGGACAGCTGTCAGGGGTATTCTGGGAGTTGAAGTGCACCCATCTTAAAATGGCTTCAGTTGGAAAACACGGTGCTAGCAGAAGAGCTTACCCAAGTATTTTCTTTATGAAGGAAAACTCTGCATTTTGTGTGGCGATGTCCGAGTAGTAACACATGGAAGGAGTCAATAACATAGATGACGCTGGGTTTCCATTCTCCAAGTAGGGCATTTGGATATCATTCTAAAGCAGACGTTTTAAAAGACGATATGTAGTTGAATCTAGACAAACTTCTGTTGTTCTTGATACCAACATTTCCAATTATATTTTGATTTTCTGAGTCTCCTCGGAGGAGGACATCAAACGGTGAGAGTTGTTTTCTTTTGCATGCATATTTGCTGCTGGATAACCTAGATTTTTGGAGGAGTTCATAATTTC